TCAATGACCTGGAGCAGTTGCAGGTTAGGGTAATTACGCACGAGATCACAGATGGCAGTAATAGTTTGCACCATAGCACCACCATTCCATAATTCCCAAGAACCAGAGGCACGGACAAGAGTGGTGTAGTGGCCAGGAGTATGTAGAATATAGGCACAAACGTGCGAACAGTGGTCCGGGTCGCCACCCGAAGGGAAACGCTGCATATCAAGCCGGCGCCTTATCAAAGCAGTCTCCAAAACAGAGACATTGAATCCCCCATGTCGAGTGTAATTACTATCCTGTGGGGGATGCAGAGCCGGGTTATTGCCGTATAACTCACGTTCCTTAGCATCAAGATCGGAAGCAATGGCCAAGAAATCAGAGTGAGTATATGGTTCCCGACGATAGGCTTGTAGGCAAATGTTAGTAGCGGCGAGGCCACACAGATTCGGTGGAGGCCGGTCAGGCGGATTTTCTACAGAATCTCCTATAGTCCCCTTGCCAAGTTCATCCTCAGATGGTCCCTCGCCATCATCCCTCCCGTTTTGTGTTTGCCGCGTTGCAGAAAGGTCTGCAATTGAAGAGCGTTGCAGGCGTGGTAAGGATGCTTGGGGCGGCAAAAGACGGGGACGGGATGTTGGGGAGGGCCGTGGTGGGGAGAATGAACGGGTTCTTCTTCGTCCAAGAACAGAGATGGAGGAAAGGGGAGTAAGCTGAGGTTGGGAAGTAGGTCGAAGTCGGCGTCTAGGACGACGAAGTAGGCTTTCTGCAAGGGCAAAACATGATGACGGAGTCTGTGTGGACAAAGTGGTTTGTGGATTAGGAAGAGGGGTAACGGATTAAGGCGGTGAAGACGGGGGGGATGAAGTCAGGGGTGGTGAAGTGGCTGAAGCAGAGATAGGGGGGGCAGTCGTAGGTGAGACCCGAAGAGGGGACTCTACAGGTGGTAATGCAGGCATGGCCACGGATGCCATGGAGGAACGCACCGAGACCAAGGGCGACACAACAGATGCGGTGGTCACGGATGCCATGGAGGAACACACCGAGACCAAGGTCGACATAACGGGTGCGGTGGCCACGGATGCCATGGAGGAACACACCAAGACCAAGGGTGACACAGCAGCTGCGGGTCGAGTTGCTCCCGCGGAATCAATCGTAGAAGCAACCAAGGCCGATGAGGAAGAGGCTGTGAACCGAAAAGGGGCAGCCAGGGTCACAAACGGCATGGAAGGGGTTACTAAGACTGATGAGGACGCAGGTGCGACAGACGCAGGTAATGAAGAAGAGGCTGTGATAGGTGTGACAGGCGCTGATAATGAAGAAGGGGCTGTGACAGGCGTAGTCCGAGGACAGTGTGTAGATACCCGAGAAAGCGGGTGATGAATAGACCATCGAAGCATGCTGCGGAACCAGCTGGAGAGGCGGGTCACATGCGCAGGGTACTTGTGTTGACGTTTACGAATATAGGAAGTCCTTCGTGTGAGCATCGCTGCTGCAGTTTTGAAATCATACCAGTTGTTGCAGACATACTCAAACCTAGTAAGCTGGCCTGTAAACACTCCCGCCGGCTGGTGTGCAGGGACGTTAGATGTAGCACTAGGATAACGAATAACASGGAAATTTCATTCAGCTGCTTTGTCAAAGACACTCATACGCAGGGAGCCGTCAGGGCGGACTTGGAGGCGTGCACCCAAGAATGTGCAAGAGCCATCAAGCGCTGTGGTCTCCTTCTATTCGAGGCCATAGTGCTCTGACCGTGGTGGCAGATGTCACCATGAGAGAACATCATCGATCAAGCGGTATGTGAACGCATACCGTTGAGTTGCGCGAAGATCACGCCGCTGGAGGTCATCAACAAATCGAGCCTCATCCAATACAACGTCAAATTAGCTATCTCCGGACCAGAATTTGTCCCCATCGGGATGCCAATCAACTGATGTCGCAAGGTGCCGTCCGCTGCATAAAGATAAGTGTTTGTGACAATGAAATGGAGATGTTCAAGAATTTGGGAAACGGTCAAGGTGTTTGGTACTCTCTCTTTGTGTTTGCTTCTCTCTCCCACTCTCTCTCTCTTTCTCTCTCTCTCTCTCTCTCTCTCTCTCTCTCTCTCTCTCTCTCTCTCTCTTGCTTAGTTCGTTTCATTGGACGGGGCAGGTCGTCATACCGGGGGA